CTAAAGGATTAGGGATCCCATCCCATCTAGATAAGAATGGGAAATCCCATGGGAATCCCAAAATGGGATGGGAAATTAATATGGGATACCCATTTCCCAATGGGAAGGGATTTCCCATGGGATTTCCCTTCCCTACGGCCAGCCTAAGCCTGATAGATTCCCTTATAGGTAAGATCTATTTTATAGTCTATCTTTACCCTCTTACTTAAGGTGTTTTTTAACTGCTTTATTTAATATATAAAACCCTTTCTAAGTATAGTTTTTATTTCTCTTCTATTATATAGCTCTGCCTAAGCTACTTATCTATTAAAGAGACTTAATATCTACCTTTATTCCTATAGTAGCTTTCTTAATTTTAGTCTTACTAACTCTTTCATCAGGTATCTTGGAAGCTAAAAGATGTTAGGATTAATCTAAAATTATTTCTAATATTTTACCTAATAGGCCGTGGGATGCAAATAACTAGTAATTAAGGAGAAATATTATATAAAGATAGATAGAATACTTTAAACTTATAAAGTACTAGACTATTTAAAAAGAAAATTAGTAGTTAATGCTTCCTTCTAGATATCTAGGCTTTATATATAAAATAATACTATTTAAATACTATATACATGCATCTTAGGCCCTTACTAGTAATATATTAGTATAAGCTGAATTTAGTGATAGGTATTAATAGTAATATATTAAGGACTAGTATACACCCTAAAGATATGACTTTTAAGCTATAAGTCTAATATATAAGGCAGAAAATTAAGATTATTTAGATAGAAGTCTAAATAGTAATAGTAATAAATATATAGACCTACTACTATCTTATTAGATATATTTCTACTCTCTTCTGCACTACTTATTATAAATAGCTTATAGTAGTATATTTTTAACCTTTTTAATCTTAATATCTAAGGATATATCTATAACTATATTTTATATCTAGAACTAGCTCTTTAGAATAAAAGTACTATATTACTTAAATTCTAGCCTTAAGAAATACTATATAAGGGTTTTAAACTTAATTATTTTTATCTAGGGAACCTTCTTAACTTTACCTACTTACTATATAATACTTTCTAAGTAACTAAGCTATGCACACTAAAACTTACCTATAATAGCCTATATAGGATGCCTATCTATAGAGATAGTTATACTATCTATATTCCCCTGCGCGCTGAAGCCTAGGATTAGTAATAAAGAGATCCTAGCCTACTTCTTAAAGGGCTTTTTTAGTAGATAGGTGTTTATACTAGAATAGTAGGTGCTATATATAATAGGGCTAGCTATAATAGATTTTACTAGTACCTAACTCTTACTCTATCTATGGTCTATGGTCTAATTATTATAATAGGTAGCTTTTTATAATAAAGGTCTAGTATTAATACTCCTAACCCTAGTCTAGTCCCTCTTCTAGTTTAATAGAACTATACTATTTCTTATTAGAATATTAGTATTTAGTAACTAGTAGCTCCTTAACTCTAGTATGGTAAACCTAGATATTTAGTAGATACTATATCCTACTAATATTAAGTCTACCAGTGCCATGAAATAAAACTAAGTATTTATTAAGTATATAGGTGGCTTAGATAAGCTATATATAGTATTTTTAGACTATATTAAAGTAGAGTAGGATAGAGATACTATTATAATTATACTCTCTAGGCTTATATATAATCTACTTACTAAGGAGCTAGTAGTGCCTAGGGTTATAAGGGAACTACTTTATCCTATATATATAAAGATGCTTTTAGGTGATAGGATTAGGGAGATTTTAAGATAGATATTAGGCTATACTAAAATATTTTATCTAGCACTCTTAGTATTTTGATAGGGAGGAAGTAACTAGAAGGTTATAATATAGGGGACTAATAACTATACTAATAAAGATATAGGAGGTAGAAGAGCTGCAATACTATAATAAAGTTAAAGTTTTAATACTATTTACTATTAGAGAGACTAGATAAGATAACTTATACTTAGTATATAGTTAGCTTACTATACTAAACTAATTATAAGATAATATTACCTTAAAGCTTTATATAAAGAGTCTAAGTACTATAAACTATATTAAGCTATTATTAATTAACTTTAATTAGATATAAAAGTATCTTTTATATTTTATTTATAGTAATAATAGCATAGGTGACACTATATTTAATTTAATCTAGGGGGATATTTTAGTAATCCTAAATAGAAATCTAGTATATATTATATTAGTATTTAAGTAATAATCAGCGCGTACTACTCATGTGATATATTATATTAAACTAGTAAGCTAAAAAAGCTTACCTTATTCTTAACTAATAAGATATTACCTTATCCCTATCTAATAAAAATAGCTATATTCAGCAGCCTATTAGGAATCTGATACTACCTTAGTTCTAGTATAAAGGATGGATGGCACCTTAGCACTTACTAATTATAGGTAAGCAGGTAAGCATTATATAAGGGTCACCCCTATATACTTACCTTACTCAGCCTCACTATAGACCTGCTTACCTAAGTTATGTGAGCTCAGGGCAGCACTGCTCACCTACTAAAATAAGAAGGGCAATGGCCTTGATGTCTGTAGTTTTCTGCTCAGTAGGAAGGTCTATCTTTATTCATCCTATAATAAATTAATAATATCTATAACCTATTTATTAAATATCTGAAAAGCTTAATTCTATTTTTTCTTCAGTGTATGAGAATAACTCAAGTTATCTTAGAGTTATTAAAGTTATCTAGATTAGTTAATTTTCTATTAATTACACTTTTTCCTATTATATTATCTAAAGTTTAGTATACAGTAAATTTAAAGCCTAAAAGCAGTATAGATTTAGAGAAAGAAATAAGTTATCTAAATATAAAATCCTCATGCTTACAGAGGGAAGTAGGGGTTAGTGCTGCTTCCTAGACTTATTTATATTAATACACTTCTTTCTCTCCTAGGTATATAGTATTTAGGCGGGTGAACAGGGGCCTGAAGTACCCTAAATGAAGACTAAATAGGGTGGCAAGCCGCCAACGCGGCGCCTGATGACCACTGCCATACTTTAAGCTGTTGTATGCCTTTTTTTTTTTTTTTTTTTTTCATGGTATCATGGAGGTCAGTGTCAAGCTTTTGCCTCCAGCACAATGAGTATGGAGCCGGACGGGGGCAGGGTATGTTCATGTCCTGCTGCATTCCAAAATATTTATTAGTAGTGTAGAATTTGCCATTGACTATCATCATGCCATGCCTTGATTGAGTGTCCATCTCCTCGCTATGGAATTACTTAGAATCGGGCGAAACTCGATCCTTCCTATCGTCTGTGACAAGTCAGCCACGAATCATGACTGTGTGGGCTACCAGATGTTAATGCTAATTTCTAACTAACTACATGATTTACACCAAGGGGCTGTGACATTAAGGTGGGGGTTGCGTCTATGTTAGGACGCTGTAACATTACTCAAGTCCACGCTGTAGAAATATTCCAACAAGAGTCCACTTCCAAGGATACTCAACAACAACAACGTCTCATCATTAATCACAAAGCCGCTGCCCCATATCTGCTCATGATGGTAATAGATTTGCCCCCGGAGTTTACTGGCATGATCTTCGACTGTCTCCCACTACCGTCCCTGCTTTGCCTGCGAAGCGTCTGTAAGGCTTTATTACTTCCAATTACCCCGCGGCTCTTCTCGGAGATTTCTTTTGATCTATCTCATCACCATCCCAGCCGCCAGCTTCAGGTCATCGAATCCATTATAAAACCCTTATGTACCTTCGCTTCTCACGTCAGAATCCTTCATATCGCCGCCTTGCACCTGGAATATCAGGGCCCCCATGACAGCGACGATCTGTTCGTAGATGAGGGTCCCCTCCAGGATATCCTCTTGGAGCACTTGGGACCATCAGTATCAAAGCTATGTAATCTAGGGACTGTTCGGTACTCCTCCCACATCTTCTCTCTCTCCAGAAAAGCACTCTTCCATTTCCATCGGTACTCCAAGACCATGAAGATATGTAATTAATACTAATGACCCTCTCCACAGCTGGACCTACCATCTTGACGTAGATCCTTCAACCACGCTTGAACCAGTGGCCAGAGCGCTTTCGTCCCTGTCGTTACTTCAACTTTGATACTATCTATCAAGGGCCAACCTCGCCGCGTGGCAGACCAGCCATTGCCGCCCCTCCACAGCTTCAAGAATCTGCACAGATTCGCCGTGACTTGCTCGGGTGATATACCCCGACTATACTGCGAGCGAGAAATCATACCGCTGATCGAAGCATCGGGAGCATTGATCGAATTCTCCGTACAGAACTTTGCTACCTCAGCGAATAAGTGGCTTGTGCAGGAATGCGTCTCATTACAGCGTTTCTTCGACACTCCCAAGCCTGCCTTGCAGACACTAGACTTAGTGCGTGTTCCCCTTCCCAGCCCTGGGCTAAAAGAAGCGCTGCCATCTAGGCTCCGCCAGCTGAGCCTCTCAACCCCTCCAGCCTCTCGTGGCGTGGATTTCGACTGGAAAGCACTATGGTCCAGCCTGCGGGAAACCCGCACAGAGCTATCCGCGCTCAAAGTGTCCGGTTCGGAACGAGCAATGGATGACATATTCCAGTACTTGCTCAGCTACAACGGACTGCAAAAGCTAGAGATCATGCATCTGCAAATGGACCATCAACACGAGGAAGACAATTTGGCAGCAACGTTTTGGGATAAGATTGTCCCCTACCTCCGGGAAACCCTAGTCACCCTCGCTATTACGACGAGCTATGAGGGAATTTGTGCTACGGGCCCTCCGCTGCGGCTGCGTTATCGCAGTGCTCATTCCTTAAAAACTTACCTTAACTTTATCAGTAGGCACGGTCAGTACTTCCTGGGCAGATGCAATATTCTCTCAGGCTCGCAACGACAGGAGAGTCGAATTTTCTCGCCTGGATGAGCCTTATGGCTCGCCCGTGAATTGTGGAGTAGTTCCCCCGTCTTTCTAAAAACAGGCTTTTCTCCCCGATTCAATTTTATTGTGTCTGCTGCGTATCTAGTCTAATCGATTGATAGGCTCTTGTGCTCTGCAGCTTGGAAATACCTCTTGAGACATTGGTGCTGACATCGACGCGGGCGGCCGCCGCTCGTGCCACTGATATGTACCACTTGAACAGCGGCACTCGGTCGAAGGGTAGTCCTCAAGTGTATCGCGCAATGCAGCAGCGCAGACAAATGGTAAACGGGATTGAAGCCGTGTTGCTCGGAATACGAGCCCCGGTAGAGTCTGCAGTGAACTGGCCATTGACCGTGGTGGTGGACTCGTCTTCTCAGCTTTGTCGTGAAAAGGCGAATAGCGTTGTGTATTACAAAGAGGAGAGCACAGAGGATGACTAACTATGCTTTTATAACACTTCTTGCTATCAGGGGTTAGTGATAGGAGAAGAAACATTTTCATAGAATCATGATCATTGAATTAGTATCACTGATGGAGAATGATTATGAATCTAAATATCTTTATTTTGCCACCTCAGGGATATAAATTCAGACTAGAGAGTCACTCATTGAGAAGAATCAGACCTTCATTTGATTTCGGACTTGCATACAAATTCTGATTCATATCAAACTTTACTAGCATGTCTGAATCCAAAAAGTATTAAAGTTAGTTTCGCACCAAGTCGAATAGCCATGAGATCGCCAATTTTGATTCTGAGGGATCTACTGCTGTCAGTGGCTCAATGCCGGCTCAAGGTAAATACTCTCTGAGACCAGCTAGAAAATAGTCACAACATAGCTTCTCTAATTCATTTCACTTTTGATACGTCTCTCATACATGACCTCGCATAATTCAGCTCTGAGCGCTTCATCATAACCAATCTCAACAACTATGCTAGTTCACATTCTCCAACCATAGTTCTGCATACATATACCAAATAATCTCCGCGCTCTACCCAGTGGCATTCCGTCCATCTGCAAGGGAAGGATCGAAGTTCCGGAGCGTCACTTAAAGATGGAAGGCTTTTGAACGTCTTCATTGTACTGTCCATAGACTTCTCTATGAAAGCCATGACTTCAGGGCTCTCTGACAACTTAGCAGCAGCATCGGGATCGTTGTCTGTTCGAAACTTTTGCTCGAAAGTCAGACTGAGGGATCGGATTGGCTTTTGATGACACATTGGTCGCGAGATCTTCAATCTAACATTAAGCGTAAATTAAATTATCGTACACGGGATTTGCTCACCAAAGTATGCGGTTAGTATGAGGAGCAAACAAGCTGTATTACCTTACAGAGTGCATTCATTCCTCCCAAAAAGATTTCTGCTCCATTTATAACCATCATGGCAGCCAGAAAGTGTAAATAGACCCCAAGATCCAACTTTAGTATTTAAGGTTGACAATTTCCCCCATGACCGGTAGAAGAACCTGGACCGATCTATATGGATCTGCGATACATTCATCCAGTCTTTCCTTTCAGGCGCTATGCGCTCGAAAGCCTTCAGTCACTGAATTTACCTTCTTCACACGCCATTCCTAGCTCATGTTCTTTGAGGTGAGCCTCTTGTCTGGAAAAAGGCGCCCAAATTCGCACGCTGTTTATGGACAATGGTTATTATTGTTTACCACTCTCAATGCACTCACTAGACAAGCAGCGCAGTCTAGAACATAAGAGGATCTTAAAGTGTTTCTATTATGATTAAATACAGAGTAAAGACGTGGAAATAATGGAAATGGTTAAGCCAGTAGGTGCCTAGAACACACTGCGAAGACATCTGAGGTTATGATCCTGTTTCCTCAAAAGTGCATATTTTAGAATTAACCTGAAATCAAAGGCTCATGAGAGATCATATGATTAGACTGATTTCTAGTCGTCAAATCAATTCATTAGGTATAGAAACGACAAGTCTAACAGTCAGTCACGCCACAAGTACAGCTACATCACGTCACGCTGCGTATGACTTTCAAGGACCCATGAATAGTTTCAGGACGCTTTTTAAGAAAATAACTTCATACTCTTACTTCCCTTCAAGTCTTACCCGACTCTAGCCACGGGGCTGAAAACAACCTTCTATTAAAAGCCCTTGGTTGTATAAGGGTCCATGAGGGACAAGGAACGGCGAAATGGGAGTCGGTTCAGGAAGGCTGACTGTACAATGGGATATATATCCAACGAGTGTCGTTTCGAGGCAACCGAATGGGGAGGTGGTGACAGATAGCGGAATACCTTGTTTGATTCGAAATACGTAGGTGCAGTCTACATTACAGCTAAGTCTGGCTGACAACAGAAAGGACACAGTTATGCATGCCGTTTGCCATGGAATCATCATGGTGACCTTTTGGTGTTCGGTTGTGGTTGGTAGCTGCCTAGAACACGTATTTCCACAAAATCACCGCATATGGTTAAGCTAATAACTGGTAATTATATTGACAGAGAGACATTCCTCCTTCTCAGTCTTTATTTCAAGGCAAACGAGATATTGCTGCATATCTGTGCATTTGATATCCTCGAGGCCACCTCTCTTACTCCTCTTCTCAATGATCAAGAAGGACAGAGTCATATACCGGCCAGGTCTCACATACTCGGTGAACAGAGCATTATTATCATCAGGGGTCAAAGTTCGACTTCATGATTGACAGTTCTTCATTTAGTGAGTGGAAAAGAAGTGAGGGGTCATCTAGTCTATTCTGAGGCTTTAGTAGGGTTGGCTTTACCCAAAACGTCTACACTGCACGATTGCAGACTGCAAGTAAAAAATGATCATTTGCCCTCTGGAACCCACGCCGACCAATTCTCCTGCGCAAAGAGCTCGAAGCACCGCGGAGGCCGCCCAGTCACTTTTTCAACTTCATCATTCTCCCGTGTCTCAAACCCAGTCGAGGCCGCAACCTCCAGCTTTGTCAAGAAGCCCGCATAGTACTCGGAGACGCCCGCGTTTACCAGCCCCCGGTACCGCTCCTCTCCAGAAAGCTTGACGTGCTCGATTGCTCGTCCCAAGACATGGCTCAGCTTCTCGGCAATGTCATCGTACGTCAAGAGCTCGGGTCCCAGCACCCGGTGGTCACAGTTGTGTGAGTCGGGATCCGTCAGAGCTCGATAGGCGACGGCCGCGATATCCGTAGCGCTGACGAACGGGATTTTGCCCTGCCCGCAGGCAGTACAGATCTTGCTTTGGTCACGGATGAGTTGGCGCAGAGCCTCCTCGGTTAGATTCTCTAACCAGCGAGCAAACATCAGCACTATCCCTTCCACAAGCATTTCCGACAAGTCTGTCTTTGGCTGCTCACCCATAAACCAACTCGGCCGAAGCACACAATAGTCCACCTGTCTGTCCAGGAAATGCTGCCAAACCATGCCCATGCCGGGCTTGCCGCATTCGGCCGAGCTTCCAGCCACGAGGACGAAGCGACGGACGCCGTGCTTCTTCAGCGCGTAATCGGTGAACTCATTTAAGGGCTTCCATGGCTCTGGCGCCTGTGGTTCCATCAGATAGATGGCGGAGATTACCTGGTCATTAACAAACTTATACTCGAATGGAATGCGCCATGTATCCTTGTCTAGCCAGTCGAACTTGACGGCCGGCATGTCGGGAGGAGCGGCGGACTGGCCGCGGCGGGAAGCCAGTAGGAAGGGGATATTATCATTGGATCGACGTTTTACCCGTGCCCCCAGTCAGAAGGATTGCCATGATTTAGTGTGTGGCGATATCGTTTGATGGAAAGATGTATAGTGACGAGTTTGGATCACACATTTGATGTTGGAGGCCACCTTTTAAGACCCAATCTCTCCTGTCGGAATTAGGATTTAAGATCGTGAGCTCCGGGGAGCTGAAAGTCCGTCGGACTTATGCTCCCGGACAAAGGGACAGGGATATGTCAAGGACTGACCATTATAGTGAGTCGATTCGGGATCCGAGGCCCGCCAGCAGCAGCTTCAACACGCCGACAGTGGAAGTTCATAAGATCTATGACCCAGCCATGGATAGAAGACCTCCAATTATGGGCTGTTCCAGTCAGCCGTCCTCCCCCGTAAAGGCCAGAATGATTGTAACCCCCCGACTCCATCTGCTTGAATTGGGCGATCAGAGCTGGTGTCCGGAATGGTTACGCGAATACTCGCACCTGGCGCGCATTCAGATGAGGCAGAATGCCGCCTGTTCAATCTCTGCTTCCATCATTTCGACGACCCAGCCGCCGCGAAGGTGCTAAGAAGTGCGATTCAATCCTCGGATGCGTTTGTGTAAGACAGCCCCCCCCCTTAATATTATTCGTGTCTGCAGAGCCATGCATGCTCATCATTCTGGCAGAATCTTTGAAATGACCCATGGCACGGCCTCGGCCTGTCTGAACAGTACTTTCATCACCGTATCTCCTCTGCTGACCACTTTGTTGTGGTTCCGGAGCTCGCCGCTCCGCCTGTTTTTCAACTATATCTTTCCGCTGGTGCAGTTGTTCTTCGCAGTTGATGGCTACGTGTCCTGCATCCGCAGTAGGACGCCGGAGGAGATCACTACCCTGATCCGCCAGCAAAAGGACCTGGACAAGTGATTGGTGGTTCAGTAGCGGCGAGGACATAGTTCTGCCTCCGTTTGGAAAGATGTACTGGTATATCGGGACCAGAAAGGAGGGGGGGGTCGAAAGAGACGTCATCTGGTGCGAAGCATTATGTCTGAGCATATATATGGCGATTAAAAATAGAAATTATATTTCTTTTGAAGATAGCGACGCCTCCTGTAGCCGGCAGAGTTTCCACGTGGAAGAGACTGCACTGGATAGTATAGCCTTAGTTGCACCAATCCCTCATAAACAAAATGTCGCGTTGAACGCTGCTGCTGCTGCTGCTGCTGCTGCTGCACTATTCACCCCGCGGTCGATATCGAGAGGGCCAGTTAAGGCCGTTGCTCGGATCCCGAAGCCCGATGGGACGAGTACTTGAGTCCGGAGGTATACACATACCCCTTATCAGCTGGCGGTCTCTCCGGCGGCGCTTCGCCAGGGCTTCTACAAATCTCTGTATGCGCTGCAGGGCCATCGCGAGACATGGTACACCGGGGCTGCTTTTCTTGCTCACCATACTGCCTCCTGTGGAACTATACAGAGGCGATCATCGCGGATCTGGTTGTTTTACACTCCATTGTTGCTGCAACGGATTCGGTTCTCTTGATGGCATCCGGTGAATTAGCTATAGTTCCTTGCCCACGAGTCTTTGGATTACCGCAGGCGAGTCTGTTGAGCCTGTTCTTTGTGAGATAAATTACGTAATGCCTCTTTTGTGTCTCTCAGTCTATCGTTAAATGCTTGGGCTCTTGAAGCTAGGTAAATCTGGTCACTAGTTAGTCTGGTCTATCGTTCATAACAAATGTATAAACATGCGGTAGGTAGAACTCCTTGCTGTTAATGCTCTCTGCCTTTTATCTCTATCTTATATCCCTACTACTTGATGATTTGATACCCATATTCAATATCAACAACTGACAAGTATCTCAAAATGCTTTAGGCACTTGGTAAGGTAGCCCCCGGCCCATGGTCACTGCCTATATCAACTCACAGTATATGACCTCGCAACATTCACCCGAACTCCTCCGAAGGGTGAAGTCACCTGTAACCTGGTTGATAGTAGAGTAGATCAGGAATCAGATGACAGCCTTGTCAGTGCTCTTCCATATAAGCAGTAATCTAGGTCCTCTTATGATCAATTCTGACTATCTCCAATAATTCTTATATTACCAAGGTCCAATCTTCCAAATTAAAAGAAGACATGACTTGCCCAGCCTCACCCACCACCAGTCGCTATGGCCCCGACCCCGACAACCGCCCTGACCAAAAAGAATCATGCAACATTATCAGCAACCTAGACTGCGGCTCTGACGGCAACGCTCCCTTTGTTATCGGCACCGATGGTGTCCTCCGAACTCTGACACAAGACTGCGACGTGATCGACGCCATCGGCCTTCCACCTCGGCTGATCAAAGCTTTTCTTGATCGGACTACATTTGACCAGGGAATGGAAGACATGTTTCGCGGAGCAGATGGAACGAAAGTGCCTCAGGAGCAGTGGTGGAAGCCAGATCCACCGTTATTACCGCCACCGATGACAGCGGAGGATAAAGCACTGGTTGAGAAAGATAATGAGGAGAACAAGGAAATAATTCAGGAGAATATTAGGAAAATGGAAAGTGGTGAACTGAAACCGTGCGGCGTTGTTATTCGGTCTGATTATGATATCAGTCCAAGGTAGAGAGAGGTTCTACCTATATCTGTCATAATGATTCGTGATATTGCATGTCAGTTTTACCTTTCACTTTTGGTAAGTTTATATTGCTGGAATAGTTCCTCCCATTGTAATGCCTCTTTCAGTACGTTTGATGGCCTCCTCTTAGAGTAGCTCCAATACCTGACAAAGAAGTGGGTTACTGTTTCTTGCGTAGCCCTTATTGTATCATGGTTAAAGGAAGATCTATTCTGGTGTCATTTATATTCTGCCCTGCAAAGCTAGGTATAGGAAAAGTGTTTGTCTACACAGGATGATAATATTGGTAACTGTTCTGTAGGAGAGTTAGTGCGCAATGCCACCTTGCGGCAAAGGACATCCCGTCCCATTAGTATCCAAACCATTTCGTCTATAGCCACTGTCGGTATGTACGTCGACCTGGGCCTCTGGGTACGGCGATGCCAAGCTCGTCTGCAAGAAAATGCTGGAGAAGGCGAGCGTAGTGCGGCTGGGACAGGTCGCCGGCTCCAGTGTCACTGGCTACTGGAGTCCAGTGGAGCATCTCGCACTCCTGTTCAAGAGCGCGAAGACCTTGAACATTCTACCTGATCTTCCGGGGGTAAGTGCTTCTTCTTCTTTTTCTGTCATCTGCCCCCTTCCGACATGATCTGACCATCGCCATCGTAGGAGCTGTCCTGGTTCCCGGTCAACGAGGCGGCTGCCATTTTTACCGACCTCCTCCTCTGTCCCGACCCGATGCCCCCCGTCTTACATGTTGAAAATCCGATCCGTCAACTCTGGGCGAACATGATCGCTACTCTGACCAAGGAGTTGGACATTCCTATGCGAAATATTCTTCCCTTTGAGGAGTGGTTGGACCGTATGCGCAGCTTTGCCGGGACGAAGCGGCGAATCCCGCGAAACGAGTAGACGCCTTTTTGGAGGAGCACGTTGCCCGCATAGCGTGTGGAGGAGTGGTTCTCGATACCCATCACACAGCCAGGATTTCGGGACAATTCAGGGCGTTGAATGCGGTAGATCCCGGTGCGGTCAAGCTGTTCGCCCAGTATTGGCGCAACACTGGATTTATGGACTAGTTTCTTTCTATCAGAGCTGTAGTACTTGGCTCGCTATTAGTGATAGAGGGGTACTTCTGGCTATTGGTCGCTCACTTAATGATAGGACTGTTTCTCTTCTTACTTACACCTTGAAGTATCTAAGATTTAAAAGTGGCGTGGAAATATATCAACCTTACCACTACTATCCTAATCACCATTATCTGAAATCTAAAATCCACGACAACTCTAATTTTTCTTAGTAAATCTAATGATTTATTTTACATAGATAGATATGATTATTTCTATCCATATTCATGGAGATTCGGTATGGCTAACCCATTTAGTTATGGGTTGGATTAGGGCAGCCAGTCTACATCTGACACATCACTTTGACATTTTAAATACCATCCCTACTGGTCAGAATCCTTAATGCGGAGTTACAGAGGCATTTGCAGCTGATGAGACGACTTATCTTTCCTTTTTCAAAAGTCCAGCAATAGTTGTGATACCAGATTTCAGAATATTACACGGGATTAAAATGTACATCAGCCTAAGACAATAATCTGGAATTGCGCCAGTAGACCATCTTATTAATCAAACACATCAGAAGCAACATAAGCCATACTAGGAGGAGTCAATTTTCTTGCTTTGGAACATACAACCCAGATCAGCGGTTGGCATAAATAGTGTTACCTTGAACTTCTGGTACTCACAGTTCATTGAAAATGATCTTTTCCTTCCCCGTTATCGACATGTTACGCTTCATCTGGGCTATTATGCCATGGATATCAAGCATCACTGCAGATTTCTCAGGCCTCAACGCGAAAGCTAAACGTAGGACTCAAACTCGAGTACAGATCCAACGAAACTAACGATGCTAGAGTTCGTGGTTAATGGCACTGGCATTCCTGAAGTCAACTTTGATATCGGCGAGTCCTATGCGGGATACTTGGCCAACACCCCCTCGGGGAACTCCAGTCTATTCTTCTGGTATTTTCCCACGACGAATGCAGCTGCTGGCGATGAAGTATGTATCTGCTGTTTGGGTATACTTCCAGCTACATACACCATGGATCTGACAATTGGATAGATCACGATATGGCTCAATGGGGGACCGGGATGCAGTTCCCTGGCCGGATTAATCCAAGAAAACGGCCCATTTCTCTGGCAACCTGGGACATATGCGCCTATTCAGAACCCGTATTCCTGGACCAACTTGACGAATATTGTTTACGTGGACCATCCTGCCGGAACTGGAATGTCGCCTGGGCCATCCACAGTCAAGGATGAGATTGACATCGCTCATCAGTTTATGGACTTTTGGGTTCGGTTTGTCGATACTTTCGAGTTGTGGAACCGGAGAGTCTATTTAGCTGGTGAGAGCTACGCTGGGCAGTATATACCATATATCGCGTCGGCAATGTTGGATGAACAAAATTCAACGTACTTTAATGTCTCTGGCCTTCTGATGTTTGATCCTTCGATTAATTCTCGTACTGTTTTAAGCCATGGTATGTTTCTTTTCCTCACTGACCCTCTTCACTCCTTGTGAAAGGATAACTCATCTGAATCCATCCACGAACCCGATGGATTGAAGCCGCCCCCCCCCCCCCCCCCCAGCTTTGTATACACAGGGCTAAGATATTGAACAGCGCCTGCCGTCCTTGCCATGAAGCATTTCAAGCATATTTTAGCACTCAACGACACTTTCATATCCGAGATTGAAGAAAGAGCGCAACACTGTGGCTATACCGAATTTATGGAGCAGGCACTTCGATTTCCACCGGCTGGCATTCTTCAGCCGGCCCCAACCCACGAGAGGCCGGGTTGCGATATATGGAACTCAATAGTGAAAGCCGAGTATTACGTGAACCCCTGTTTCAATTACTACCATATTGTTGAATTCTGTCCTTATCTGTGGAATGTGATGGGTTTCCCAGTATCCGACGCAGGACAGGGACCAGATAACTACTTCAACCGAAGTGACGTACAAAAAGCAATAAATGCGTACCCGACGGACTACCAAACCTGCGGCAAAACGACTATCTTTCAGGGCGAGGACGCCAAAGACCAGTCTGTCCCGAGCGGACTTGGCCCCCTTCCCAGTGTGATTGAACGGACTAACAACACAGTAATCGCTCATGGCCTGCTGGACTTTCTTCTCCTTGCAAACGGCACTCTTGCTACTATTCAGAACATGACTTGGAGTGACGTCCAAGGCTTTCAGAATCCGCCATCCGACCCTTTCTTTGTTCCTTACCATCCCTGGTGGTACGAGCAGTGGGAGAGTCTTAAGAAAATGCCGCCATTCACCAGAATCGCGGGCTCCGGGATATTGGGAACCTCACACACAGAACGTGGGCTGACTTTTGCGTCAGTTAATCTCGCTGGTCATCGTAAGCTTACACTATTTCAGACACGAGCCACTCATGTTCTCAGGAAGGCTAATCTATGCTTAATTGACAGAAGTTCCCCAATACAGTCCAGGTGCGGCTTACAGGCTGATGGAATTCCTTCTCGGGCGTATCTCAAGCTTGTCGGAGGTAACGGACAGCTTTACGACGGGGACGGGGTGAATTGCCTCGCCTTTGAAATTGTGTTGAGAAACGTTACTTTTTCCTCTCCTTTAAACGATAGGACTCATCTATCCCCACTACCTTCAAGCACGCAGCCATTCAATGGCATTTACTTAGGGCCCGATCCACTCCTATACTCAATCCGTCCCCGCATCAATGATGTGGTATCATGAGTCAATAGACATCTGCGTAGACTCGAACTTGACTGATTCCCTTTCATACCCCGCCTAATGAGTTTGCTAGGTCCAGTAAGCCGCCATACTTGGTCTACCTTGCAGGTCTCGAATATGCACAGTGTAGAGATGAATGGAGCCCACCTCTCTGCAGGGTAAGTTTTGCTGTTATTGAGTTTGATGACGTATCTTCCATGATTTTGTCTGTTGTTGAACAGCTGTACCAAGTTACATACAAAGGAGCTAATACCAGTCATAATTGAAGTTCCTTTTACATCTAGCAGTGTTGCACAGCATGAACAACTCATAGAGATCGACGAGCTGCTTTTCCCAGATTTAGTCTGGTGTCAAAGCAGCTGCAACATTGAGCACGCTTCTTACTGCAATCACGAAGCCTTCAGCACAAGGTGACGGTAAAGAAACAGTTCCACCAATGAGGTTGAAGGTTGAAGTTGAACGCTGCAAGTCTATGAGCGGACGACACACTATTTCCACCCACTTATGATGCCTTGAGATAGGGCCTCTTTTGTCTGTTGATAGATTAGGCACATGGCATCTATGGCCTCAACATATAAGTACGCGACCTTCCTCAGGTAACTAGGTTTGCTCTGATACTCCTCACTGACAATAAGCCCTGACCTCTCCTGGCTTGTTCCTATTGAATTGCTATATCTCAATTAAGATAAACCCCACCTGGATCAACATGCACGTTTCCAAAACTCTTCTGACCTTCGTCCTCGCTGCCCTCGCGGCTGTAGGTGCCGCCGCACCGGCAGGCTCCAATACTGCAGTGGATGCTTCGGAAGCTGACGTTCTCACCAAACGCCCCAACTTCAAGATCGCCTACAGAGGTGAGGAGGAAGAGGCTGAGGCCCTGGCCAAACGCCCCAACTTCAAGATCATCTACAGAGG